TAATTAAAAAGTGACATGACATATGAAGGCCAAGTATGGTAACCCATATTCAGATTTAACCCATCCAAGTTAGTGCACACACATTAGGATCAGTTAGTAGTAAATACACACACACACTGCAAACCGTGGACACACACACAGCCCGGGGTGTGATTGCCTTACTCAAGGGCACCTCAGTCATTTCCTGCCAGTATTGAGAATTGAACCTACGACCTTCTGGTTACCAGTCTGGCTCTCTAACCATTACTTCCCCCTAATACTTTTATTCATCAAGGATGCTATAAATTAATCAAATTGACATTAAAGACATTTATTATGTTATAAAAGATTATTTCAAATTAATGATGCTTTTTCTATTAAAAATCCAAAAAAAATGTATCATGGTTTCCACAAAAATATTTAACAGCACAACTGTCTTCAAAATTGATACTAATAAGAAATATTTCTTGTGCACAAAATCTGTTCACAATATTACAGTTTATATATAAATCAATTTAAATATATATATAGTAAGATAAGATTTAACACATACAAAATCAGTTCACAATATCACTGTTTTTACAATCTTACCGGCGTCCTCCAACTTTTAAACGGTAGTGCACATAGTGTAAAACAGAGTGGTGTAAGTGTGTTTTGTGCATGATAATGAATGTATTCAGTGAATTTGAGATGTCTTAGATTGTTTTAGTCTTAAACATGCTGTGACATGTTGACATACTCTATATTCGATTTGTTATATGAGAAGGACAGTCTGTGAGAGAGAGAGAGTGCAGTTCTTAACATTGTGTATTCTCAGTGCCTGGGAAGACACCAAGAGATCTTCCTGTCGATGTTCAACTCTGTGAACGCTCTCCCCTGCTGCTCACTGCATCAGCCATAATCAATTAGTTCCACTACACACTGCTGACAGAATCAGCCCAAAGCCCCCAAAGGATCAACCTGATACTGATCTCACACACACACACACACATGATAAAGTACATACACGTTATATATTAATGTATCTGTCTACAGCAGAGCGGAGAACATGATTAACTTTCTTTGCAGACATGTTTCCTCCTGAGGGTTATGTATTCATCTATTACATATTTATATATCCTTTCTCACTTTCTATCTTTTTATCTTTCTCTTTCTCTGTCTCTTAATCACATACAGACACACGACCCTTTAGACATGAGAATAAACGCAATCCTTAAGGCAAACGGCCCATTCGGTTTTACCACAAGACCTCTCCCTCCTTCCATTTTCATTCACTTCATTACCAGTAAGCGAAATCTAAAAGGCAGGCCAGATGCCAACAAGCATGTGTGTGATATTAATGGTTTGTTTAAAAAGTTGGTGGTGTGCCACTGTGTAGAAAGCCCACTGATGTAAGAAAAAGTTTAAGAGAAAAAGGAAAGGAATACATTTTCTACAACATGTGTCAATGCAATTCCAACAAACCCTGTAAATTCTGGTTTGCATTTATTTAGCATTTCTCTACTATTCATCATCCTCTTTCCTCATTGATTACGCAAACACAGATGTGATTATAAGCTAAATGATTTTAAGATCATAGGGTTTGAAGAAAAAACATGCATCAGTTGAACAGGCCTATATCTTTATGAGGTGTGTCTGTGTGTTGTATGAAGCCTATAATACCTGGAGAAAACATCCATTAGCATTTCAGTTCATCTTAATGGAGAAGAACGATGATTTGTCAGCAGATGAAGTTATGACATCCTATAACTGGCCTGCTCTAACCAGACACCCTTGTTTGTAACTACGTCATGTGTTCTGACACCAACAGAACACTACATTTTTAGTTCTGTTCCAAAGTGTTACACATTTACTGGCATCCGTATAGCCTCTTACTGTCACACTGGAGGAGGACCACAACTGTGTGTGTGTTAGAGAGCGAGTTCTTTTTGCCAACTCAAATCTCTGCGTGTCGTAATATTTTCAAGTTTGATGCCATTAAATTGGTGATTTGTGAACTGTTATTTTAACAGAAAAGAGAATTTTACAGGAGAGAGCCCAGACTACCTTTGAAATTTTCACCATACTCTCTGAGCGTGTACTGTGTAGTATATGTGTCTGAGACACACTTTCACTTAGGAGGAGGTGGTCTATACAGCCCGTAAAATTTGGTAATGTTTCTCACCCTCTTCCATTCCGTTCTTCTGTAATCCAGACGAAACGCCATACTAATATAATCTGACAGGGGGACTGTCCCGATACCCACACGGTATTGCAGTCTTGACCACTTGAGAGCATGTACACGTGGAAGGAAGTTAGTGCTCAAGACTGTCCCAGATGAATGCCAAAGCTCAGTGCCCTTAACACACACTAAATTCACACTCTCTTATGCCGCTTCAGAGCTTTATTTGAGGCCAAGTATCCCATCATTGACCATGTTCAGGAACTCACGTGGAACGAAATGTCAAGAATAAATATTTTGTAAAATGATTGCAACTGCTTTTTATCACTTAATTAGTGGAACCACAATTACAAAATTATGATGTCTGATATATAGTACATATATATATGTATATATATATGTTGTACATATATATATATATAACGGCATTTAAAAAATCTAATTGTGTAAAAAAATATTTTGTATGTTTTGTCTGTTTGTTTTGTGCTGTAGATTCAGTAGCGGTGTTGATAGAACATTGAGTATTGTCAGTAGTAGCTTATAGAATTAAGATTAAATAATTTTTTGTTTATTTTTTTTGTTTGTTTAATATATTGTTATGGTTAGTAATTGGTTTGTCTTTATTCCACCACTGTGTAAATTTTCTTCCTCATAAGTACTAAATGATTCCCATCTCTACTAAAGCCCTGTGTTTATGGTATTAAGAAGCGTTTTCATCAATCCAATCACAAGTCGACAATGCAAAATGCAGGTGTAAACGGGGTCTAAAACGTTTTGAGCTTGTCCACTGTGGACCACTTTCATAGTCGAAAAAGCATTTGACCAGATTGCTTTCATAGTGTAAATGCTCATGTGGTCGAATGTGTTTGAACAACTCCAACTACTGACCTAATGCGTAAACATAATGAGAAGAGCGCTAGCCAGAAGGGATTTAAACTTTGTCGGCTGAATACCTAAGTTTGGTTGAAGACAGAACGAAGCACGTGAAAGAAAGAATAAAAACGTACTGAGCACAATGTTCTCTCGTTCCTGATTTCTAACACGCACTCACAGCGTTGGTCTAAGATATTTTGTAAGAGAGAAATGGAAAAGACTCTTCTTCAGAAATTCTTCAAAAGAATTTCTTCAGATGTATGTGTTTCTGTTACATTTAATTGTCTTCACATGTGTGTTTATGGGGAACACAGGGTTGATTCATGACTTATTGAGATCATCTGCCAACATTGTACTCTAGAGTAGAGCACTAAACCGCAGGTTACCTCAGGGCCTCGCTGCAATTACTGTTCCTGTATGTACCCGCTGGATGAGACGCCTGTTAAATGACAAATAACCAGTGATCTGTGACTCTGTATATGTGCTCTTTTTTACAGTAAGAGAGTATCTGGGTCAGTATTTCACTGTTCGGACTCTGTGTTCTGGAAACCAAACCCTTAAAAGCTTTTATCTCTTGGTGAAACTTGCACGCAAGATCATTCCATTAAAGAAAGAACAAAACTCTTTCTCCTTTGTTCAGCTTGTTAGTTTATTTGAGGTTTATATCAAAATACCTCACACAATGTCAAACCCCACAACTGTGTGTTTATGTAACTGTGTTTGAATATATCTTTGCCAGTGATTGTTAAAATCTAAAAGTCTTTTGGTAAACTCTTAAAATGGCCGAGAGCGAGTTTTAATTGATTTATATAGAGGAGTGTTGTGGTGGTATTTGTTGCATGTGTGTGTTTATAATTGTGGTTTAACATTTGGCTTTGTTGTTTGGCTTCTGTTTGTGCTCTTTTCAGCGGTGCCCAATTAGCGGCTTTAGACGCGTGCCACCCTCTCAACGAGGCCTCATTCCTTCTTCAGCTGCTCTTTCTTCACTCCTCTTTTCTGTCCAACCTCACATTATATGAAGGGAATGTGGAGGGAGTGTAGCGCTGTACTTCAGGATACTAGAGAACGATAGCAAGAGAATGTGTGTAGTTCAGGTATTCCCTACATTATGGGGACAAAATGTACTTATCTTTAGTTTAAAATGACAAAACCACGGCAATTTGGGGGATATTCTCATCTGGGAAATACTTTTTTTTGTTTTAGTTTTAAAAGTTTGGGTTTGGCTCTGTAGTAGTTATAATTAGCTTTTTATAAAAACGATAGAAGTCTATGGTATGTCCTCAAATAGGTTATACACACACACAAACACACACACACAGGCGCAAACACACACACACACACACACACACACACACACACACACACACTTACAATTTAGTAAATATGGCAAATTCACGTGAACAACTTGAACACGATGTGAAATCTGCATGGGGAAATTCTTCACCCTAAGGCAAAATTTATAATTGTGGGGAATCCTATTAAAATTACTGGATTTAGCCCATGACGATTTGTTTATTTGCATTTTTGTCAATACAACATTTTTGCATTTAATGTGGACAAATTACTTTGTCGAAAAATCAGATAGTTACTCAGTGTTAAGGCATTGAGATGTTCAACAGAAAGCACAGTCTCTTCAAGAAAGTCACTTGCCAAGTTTGGTAAAATGCCTCCGCTACAAAAAGTACTGACGTAAACTTGCATCCACAAAATTTTGACTTGCAGCTTTGAACAAATAGTCACGGCAATAAAGCACAATTAAATTTAATAGACAACAAGAGAAACAGATAAAGAGGGATTTAGTTCTCAGAGAACTCCGATAATTCACAAGTGCTTCTCCTGCTGTTCTGGATTTACAGTAAGAACATAATAAAGTCAGTCCACTTTGACCAGGAGAGAAAGATTTATTGTAATTTTTCAGTTGAAATGTAGTGTTCATTGTCATGTCATTCATAATTCATATCTCTTTCTCTTTCTCCCTTTCACACAGATCTGTTGGCCACAAACCGTACCTCCGTTTTCAGTGGTTTCCATGGCGATCTACACTTGTCGGCTGTGTTTTTGGATGAATATCACGACAGGCTTTTCCTGGGAGGGAAGGATGTTCTCTACTCACTGAGACTGGATCACACACATGATGCTAAAGAGGTAGCGGACACACTATCGTTGCGATAAGGTTAAGATAATATGCTGCCACAAAAAAGTGTTAGAGCTCTGAAAAAGTGCAAGTGATGATGTAGCTGTATGAGGGTATGTTAGTGAGAGGTATCATGTTATTCAGTCTCTACTGGAGACTATTATCTACAGACAAAGATAAAATCAGGAGACGCCTACATGTGCTGACACATTTTACACATGATTAGTAAGGGGTGTGAAAAGGCCGGTTCTTGTTTGATGCATTGTTGCGTTTAAAAACTAGATCACGTGCAACAGAATGAAAAAAGCTGTTTTAACTTGACATGGAGTTTCAAAAGCAGCAACATGTATCCCACCATTGAGAGAAACACTCACAACAAGGTATATAAAAGCTTTGTAAAAAACATATTTTTTTATAAATATAATATTTATAATGTATTATAATATTACAACTATTATAAAACCATAATTTTAAAAATGTCATTAAATTAATATAATATTTAAAGCAACCTAATGGGGCTAATTCTGGCTAATCAAATTAGCAAGTTTGTAATTGATCAAGTAATGTTTGAGCATCAGGTTTTTACTGTAAAATGTATTAAGCTTTCAATTAAGCTTTCAAAAAAAATTCTAAAACATGTTTATGTATAATAACACACTGAGGGATGCATGGCACAGTGATTAACTTGGAAACTTAAAAATGGCACTTCATGACAAAAAGGCTGCCCACTCCAAGGGAAATTTTGGAGAGCTCAGGTCTTTTTTCACAGAAAGCAAGACAAATATGTTTAACTTTATCACAAAACTGTTTACTTTCTCACTAATATAAAAATAAACACATATGAAATTTTGTTTGGTAATACTATAATCCAATTTAATAAAAATTAAAAAAGAATGTCTTTGTATTTTGTTTCCTTTAGAGCTTTAGAGCTCTTTTCTCATCCATCAGAATGTTTATTAAAAATCACACAAAAACAGCTGCCCACAAACACACATTAAAGTCATATAAACTGACCCCACTTGTGACAAAGACTTGTTTAGACCACACTTAGACATATAAACACGTAAATGGTCTTGCTTGATTTTACAAGATCAATGTTTGGTCCCCTTTTTTGTGTTATTGTCACAGTTTTGTGGTAGAGTTTATAAAATAAAGTTGTGAGTTATGAGAACCGCCTCAGTGTGTGTAAATTAGTATTGACCTAAATGGACTGTAAAAGCAGAAGTGCTTTTGGTGTCTCAAGGGTTTGGCAGGTTTTTTTCACTATGCAATTATCTTTGTGTGTGTGGCTGAGGTTAATTAAAGCCTCTGTTCATGTGAATATGTTTTGACTCAAGTCACTGGAGCCTCAACAAATGTGGTTGTTTTCGTATGTAATCTCCAAAGAACTTATCATTGTGTGTGGCCTTGTTAAATGACATGAACAGGAAGAGGAAGTGCATTGCCATGGTGACAGACACATGGGAGTGGCTGCCACCTCTGAGGTTATGACCCCTTGACCTTTGAGCCTGGGACAGGCGTGTTCTGCCTTGTTAGACCCTTACGCACTCTGTAAGGCCGCTGTGCAACCACTGGCCACTCAGTAATTGGCCTTTTTTTTAGCCAGAAAACAAAATGAGGATGTTTGGATGTGTGAACTTACGTGTAAAAGATTGTTTTGCAGATGCTATCAGTAAAGCTTCTCAGTGGAAGTGGAGAGTGCCACAGAAATCAAGCAATGATTCATGATATTGTTCTTTAAGCGGAAAAATGATTCAACCCTGATTAGACCCTTCTTCCCTTCTTCGCTCTTGGGCATGTATTTACTGTTAATCCCGAATCACCTGCAGCCTTCATCATGGCTGATCTCGGTTCAGTGTGAGGAATCATTTACATTTACATTCGTCTGTAAATCTTAGCTGCAGTGTTTCTCCCATGGTTAATGGAGGATGGTAATCTTAAAGTGGTGTATCCAGAGCAAATTAAGACCCTTTTCTTCACACCATGTTTATATAAACAATGTATTATACTAGTATAGTGTTTTATGATTAATAATGACCTTTCAGGTCGATATGACCCAGTGACGGTAGGCTAACATAACTATTTTTAGTCCAGTCACAAAGTGTCCTGAAGAATAAAGGTGATGACTAATTAAGGAAACAGGAAATACCTTTATGCACAGGAAGGATGCTGGGTAACGTCGTTGATTACAGGTTCCGGATTTAGACAATGTCAAAATGTGTAAGAGCTTGAAAGGATACATAAAAACTAATGACTCACTAATGATTTAATCATGTGAAGCTGTTCAAACTAGCTGGATTGAGGAGCAACATTTTTTGAATGATATCTACAATTTTACAAGCAGTAGAACGACTTTGTAACTGTGTGATACAAAAAAGTCGATCAGCCAACAAGTCCAGACAGTATTTACATTTAATGCATTACATTGACAGACATTCACAGTGACTTAAATTGCATTCAAAGTGTACATCAGCTCCCTGGGAATTTAACCCATGACCTTGGCATTACAGGTACATGCTCCAGGTTTGAGCTACAGGATCACTATTTAACATTACTCTATTTTATCTGAATATGTTTCTGTCAGGACCACAATCTTCTAATATGATTGACAATTAGCATACAGTTAGGATTGGCGGTATGGTTCTGTTCTGGGCAATAACTCCCTGCCCATCCATGCAGCCTAGCAGCAATAACCCCCCTTAGGGTAATAGAACAGAACCAACATGAAAGTATTGCAGATATCATTAATTAAAGTACAACATAATTCGAGAATTTAGTCTTATTTAGAGGGGAATCAGAATGCCGAATGCTGACTGACGAGAGGAGGAGCTGGGGATGGAGGAGGGTAATTAGCTCCTGAGAAACGCGATAACTGCTGATAATACTGAAGGAGCTTATATATATACAGTGATAGACGTCATATTCCTATAGGTAGACGTGGATCAGCTGAGAGTCAGCTGATGCTAGCTTGACTAACGTAACCTGCCAGAACTGACGCTACGCTTAATTTTTGTTGGAAACATGATCTTCATATGTGACTGATATATACTGTTATATGTTTGCTTCAATACTTCTTTTAAGGAATTGATACTGTTTATCTAATCACACAAATTGCTATTTAAAATTATATTCTGTTAAGTTTTGCTAAAGGAGATATAATGCAATCATGTTTGCAGATCTGTATAAACAAACCCAAAAGTCTGTGTGAGGTCTGAACGTGACAGTCGTTGTGTGCCAGACTGTTCTTTGACACATTAATGTGTCAGGATGTGCAATCTCTGTATATATATTTTGATAGAGGACCCAGCAGATGAAATTGTTTATTTCTCAAGCATTCATAACATCAGAATATAGGTTTTTGTGAATTTCACACTCTCAGATTTATTATTTTCATAACTTTATCTTTATTGTTGACACTCATGGGAGCAGCAAAAAAACATTTTTTTGTTTTTGTCACACACCCACCCTCGGAGGCATACCTCACTCTACCCCACATAATGAGCAGAGTCAAATATAATAAGTCATTTGTAGTTTGGTTTCCCAGAAGAGTGTAAACACTGGCTCTGTGAGACTTTCAAAACGTTGCACTGTTTAATTGAGTGTACAGACACAGCAACATCAGCTCAACCAATGGCTCAAGACTGTCTGTTTGTCTGACCAATAGCAGTTTATTGGTGTTCAGAAGGTTCATTATTTTTGCAATTCCATTTAAAGCTGCAAGTTGCACAGATGTTATTCACTTCAGCTTTAAAATCAGAATTACATTGCTATCAGAAATTGTGATCATATTTTCTCCACTATTGTGATGAATATTCGAGTGGAACAGAGCGTGAACACAAAAAAAATGAATGTAGGGCGGGACTTGATTTTGTCCATCTAGAATGGATTGAATCATTGGATCGTTGTTGTTTGCTAATTGCTGTGATCTCATGTGAGTAAAAGATTACAAGATATAAGAAAAAATTATGCACACTGCAACATTTGCTAAAAAAGAACAATTGTCCATTTTGATTTCATGGTGGCTTTAACTGGTGTCTGATTTTGTAGTTGTTTGGATCTTTAGAGGCTTAATTAGTCTTAACAAGTAACAACAGCGCTGTGCTTAGTGTGTGTTTAATTTATGAGATGATAAATTTCATGTGTTTTTCCTCTTTATCTCCAGATTCATTGGCCTTCGTTGCCTGGGAACCGTGAGGACTGTATTCTCAAAGGGAAAGATCCCGAGGTGAGTGAATTCCTGGTTCTGGTTCTGAATTCACTAAGAACATCAACAAACTCATAAGTCGGGTCAGTGTGTCATAGTTTCCAAAGTTTTTTTGGGGGGAAGCTGGCATACTTTAGATGTCAGGTAATTTGGTGAATATCCTAAATCCATCAGATGACAGTAAAAATCATCAAATGTTTGTTTTGGACTGTTTGGTTAGTGTGATTCTCAAACTTATTTCATGTGGTTCAATCTGGAGTTTCAAATGAAAACATCTGTCCATCCTCAGCTATACTGTGAGTGTACTGCAGTTGGCGTTATGACTGGAGAGTAGAAGCCAAACGCCCATAAATGAGATTTGATCCACTAACTTATTGTTGTCTTGCTTCCAACCAAGTGTGTGTGTGACTCATGAGTCTCTTAAACCTAATGACCGAAGAAGGCTGTCCCAATACACAGAACGTAGTTATTCTCTCGTTTTTTAAACTCCTCTTTGCTTTCTCTTTCTATTTCTGTTTCTTGTTCTTTTTCTTCTCATTCAGCCTCTCCCTTTTTTCTTTCAGCATCATGAATAGGTTAATTATGTTTCAAGTTAAAGCTTTCCTGTCCTCTGTCCCCAATGGTGGAATGTCTTCCACACACACACACACACACACACACACACACACACACACACACACACACACACACACACACACACACACACACACACACACACACACACACACACACACACACACACACACACACACACACACACACACACACACACACACACACACACACACACACACACACACAGGGATATACACTCTGCATCTGCTAGTGTTTAGTATGTTTCCCTCATAAAGTGGAAATGTGAGGTGCCTCCATGGTTACATGCTCTGGTGACTGTCCCGGCAGTATTGTTTGATGTGACAGGTGAGTGTGATTTCACAGCGGTGTTTTAATGACTCTGTTCATTGTGAGTATGTGTAAGGGAATATTTGTTTTTCATTTATGCTCTAGCTGGTGTAACACTGAACAAACACACAGTCACAGATATGAACTGAGTTTTATTTAACACAGGACACAGCTCACACATCCCAAAAAATGGCTGGTGTCTTTACATGAATATGGGACATTTTAGTTTCCTTTTTTTAGCATTAGAAGCGCAAATCCTCTTTTATATGAGAACTATTAGATATTGTGGATAAACTAATGTAAATAGATTAATAAATTAAATACATAATAGATTGTTTTAAACCCAAACCTCAGAAGTCTTGGCCTTCTTAACTGTATTCAACAATTAAAATCATGCAGCAATTTCTTAATTTTGACATAATCAGTTGAATTGATATTCAGTCTATTGTAATACAAATATTTGAATTATTAACACAATTTAATGACCAAAATCATTTATTTATCTATTCATTTATTTATTTATTATTTATTTGAATATGTACATTTTAATTAAATATTTATTGCTTAAATAAAATTTCACAAATCAGTGTTTTATCACAAATCGGGTTTGTCCCAAATATTGATAACAGGGCTACAAAAATTGTATATAAATTATAAATTTACTATTTATATTTATGTGTTTGAGTAAAATGAAAATATTTTGTTTTATTCTCTAAGTTACTGACAACATTTATTTATTTATTTATTTTTAAGCTTCAGGCTCTGTTTTATGCCTTGTTTATGCTAAGTGACTGGCACATTGCTGCTTTGGATCTCTCTTGCGCTCTCAGCCCTGCTGGTTAACATCTGGTCGCAGTTTGAGCATCTGCCTGCATCTTTTATGACCCTTGACCTTTCGTTCATTTATGCTCCACTGATTTTGACCCTACACAGTCAATGAGGCTGCATACAGGTGGCCATAGTTAAGAGTGTGTACATGTTGATAGTGTGTGTTTGTGTGTGTGATGTCTTCCTCTTTCTGAACCCTTCAGTAATTTAAACTTAAGAGCTTCATTCCCATGTTGAAAGCTCTGATTGGGCTTCAGTGAGTTTTAAGTAGGGATCCTTTTCTTGATATTTGTTCGCTCTTTTTCTCTGATCCATTAAAATTAGCTGATTCCTGTAACTCTCCATTTACTGTAAACACTTCAGGGAAATATCAGTCAAACTCACACATACCAAAATCCTTTGATTTCAAATGAGCACAAACTGCATTTGATGGGTTTAACCTGGTTGTCCAATGTAAAATACATGTGTTGGTATGTTTATGTAAATAATTGTGCTGTAATGATCCAAATTGTACGCTCATTTGCTACCAAAACCCCCAATATTTTAAAATGACCTCTATCTTTGTGTGTTTGGGACAGACGGAGTGTGCAAATTTTGTGCGTTTGCTGCAGCCATTTAACCGCACTCATCTGCTGGCCTGTGGAACTGGAGCTTTCCAACCCGTGTGTGCGTATGTGAACGTCGGACACCGTGGAGAGGTATGAGCTAACACTCCCTCCCACTACTTCACACCTAGTTTGTTTGTGTATGCACATCAGGAGAATCTAATTTACTTATGTATATCAGAGACCAAATTGTTTAAGGTCAGAGGTCACCCACCAACAGACTAGAGGTCAAGACTAGATCATGAGAGAAGATACAAAGCAAAAACACACACACTAATTCAGAGGATTCAGAGCAGAGGATAGAAAAGAGAGATATCGCTTGCGTGTGTGATACAGTCATATGAATATTCTGGCATTGGACAGAATACAGAGTGAGCTGCTCTTACTTCCTCTGAGGTGTTTTATCTTATGTGTCACCTCACAGGGCGTCAGAGATGTCTGACAAATAGACAATAGTACATTGTGTAACTGAACTGGCACAGTTCACCACAGGTTTAATCTGTTTTTGGCATCACTGGGCTCACCCATACGTCTGACATCACTGACAGTAAAAACTACTCCATTACTATTATTACACATTAGATGAAAACTCGTTTACACTTTATTTCGATAGTCCAAGACATTCTACTAACTATAAGTAACTTTGAAACTACACGTCAACTAACTCTCATTAGAGTACTAGTAGACTGTTAGGTTATGTTTAGTAGAATAAGTTGATATGTACTTGCAGGGTTACTTATAGTCAGTAGAATGTCTGTTGAGGACCATCAAAATAAAATGTTATCAGATATTAAGCAGACAGTCTACTAATCCTCTAATGACTGGTAGTTGACATGTAGTTGCAAAGTTACTTATAGTTAGTCAGATGATACCATTTAGTTTTGTAATCAGAGCAGTATTTATCTGCAGCAAAAAACATTTAAGAACTTAATTAGGGTGAATTGAAAATACATGTTAATGATACATATACAACCAATAAACTATTTAAAACTTTGATGTGGATATTTTACTTGTAAAAAATTAAATGCAGACAAACTTCAGTATTTCACTAAAGAAGACACAGGGATTTATTCTCCGGAACATGAATCAGGAATCAGTAAACCATTTATTTGAACCGGTTCATATAAATGTAAACCCAAACTAACCATTTCCCTGTTCTACTTACAGTAAGAGAGAGAGAGAGAGAGAGAGAGAGAAAAAGATTGTGTATGAAAGCACAATCATTGCCTCAGCTCTTTTGGCTGTAAAGCTACGTGTATGATAGACCATGTCAAGAATAACTATGATGTAGTGTTGTGTTATGCTATTCTGGTACTTGTTTCAAAAAGTAGTTTGTTACTTGAAAAGTTATGCTATTATGAATTCAGCTGAAATACTTTCAGGCTACTGATAAATGTAGCAAGTAAAAGTGAAAAAAGTAAAAGTTACTCCCTAACATTGATAGTTTCTGTTTGGGGTCAGTTTGACTCAAAACAAATCACAATAAACTACTGTTCAAAAGTTGGGGGTCAGTAAGTTTTTTTTTTTTTTTTAAAGAAGTAAGTACTTCAGCAAGGATGCATTACTGTAAATTGATCAGTGACAGCAAATACTTTTACATTGTTACAAAAAAATCTATTTCAGATAAATGCTGTTCTTTTGAGCTTTCTATTCTATTTTCTATTCTATTTGAACTTTCACAAAGTTTCGTGAAGTTTTTTATTTTTTAAAAACAAAAAATAAACATAAGCACCAAATCGGTGTATTAGAATGATTTCTGAAGGATCATGTGACACTGAAGACTGGAGTAATGATGCTGAAAATTCAGCTTTAACATCACAGGAACATTAAGCCCCCCCTGTAGTGTACATCAGAAAATGTTTTTATAGTATTGTAGAATTATTATGTAAAACCATCAGGTTTTGTTTATAATCAGTTATTATACGATTAGGTGAAATCAAGAAGTAGTAACAATATTGAATATATCTTTGGAAATATTAAAAGGGCCTTGGGGTCTCTAATACCCCAAACAGAACATGAGGATTGTAAAAACTAAACAATAAATTTTTTCACTAGCAAGAGAAATGTATGTGTCAACTATAGTTTATTGTTGAGTTGTGAAATTGATGTGAATATTCTGACTTCTTGTTGGCAGCATGTGTTCAGTTTGGACCGTACCACAGTTCAGAATGGGAGGGGGAAATGTCCTCATGACCCCAAACTACCCTTTGCAAGCACCTTCACAGGTACAGTGCCAATGTGTCAAGTTTCTGTGTAAAAGTTCATGCCATTACATGTGTGTGTGTGTGTGTGTGTGTGTGTGTGTGTGTGTGTGTGTGTGTGTGTTTTGGCTCTTGTGTGTGTAGGGTGGAGATTTCTGCTTGTCAGTTGTCAGAGTTTATGGGCCTTTGTAGATTGACTGCTCTGATGGGGGAAATTTGAGGTGCTCTTCAGGCCAGGTTTAGTGTTACGGGGGTCTTCTGTGTGTGTGTTTGTGGGTGTGTTACAGTCTTCTGGGGCATAGACACATCTCCCAGTGCGTATTGTGTGTGTCTTTACAACAATGCACAATCTTGGCTTTCTTTGCTTGTCATTTTGCCAGATGCAATATGTTTTGGGACAAATTTTTAAGGTTGCGTATTAGTGAACTTGGAGATCTTTCACATACTAACATACACGCATTTCTGTCAGATAATTCATGGGTAACAGAGTTTTTTTTTTTAAAGTATGTGTTCATACAAATAGATGCAAATTATAAACATGTAGTTAAGTTTAGTAGGTACAGAAGTATTATAAAAACTTCTAATCTCAGAAGTAACGTGTTTGTGTGACTTTGAACGGCTATTGACTGTATATCAGGACTAGGGTTGGGTATCGTTTGGGTTTTATCCGATTCCAGTACCTACTCGGTATTTTTTAAACGGTTCCGGTGCTTAAACGGTTCTTAAATCGGTACTTAAGAAAATGAAACCGCACACACTTTATCAAAAAATAATACCCTTTAATTTACAGGGCCAAACTGGACACAATATTAACTTAAATCTTTAAACAATATAAATACAAGTAACATATGGTAATAATAAAACCAATATAAAATAAAAATTCATATTTACATAATATCAAATGAAACAATATTGTATCAAACAATGTAATAATACTGGAGATTAATAGAGATTACTAGCAGGCAGAGCTGCCAACTCTCACGCATTGACCGTGAGACTCACGCAAATGACCCTTTTCACACAGAAAAATCGCGGACAAAGAGGACACTGACAGACAAGACAGAGAAGGTTACTTTTGATATGGAACAAATCCACAGCTGTCAGATTCTGTCAATATTTTTACGAGATTCACACAACAAATAACGTTTTGGCTCTTTGAAATGTGACAGATCGCTGTAGCGCGTCAGTTCAAACGGCACATGATACAGCAGCCTACAAATCCACTGCTTCTAAGCTACGCAGCGTTGAGTGAACCTATGAAAGAGAACATCTCTGGTTGGTGTAACATATCTCCCAATAGGGAACGGGACGCTGCCAAGCTCCTCGCGCTGCCGACCAGCTTCCTTTTTCGGCAGAGAAATCTGAGGAGCAGATGGCGCCCGCGCGCCAACATAGTATGACGACGTAAGTGCGTCGATGCGGCGCCCGCGCCATCAGCCAATGAATTGGCTTGATTCTATATGGGATTCAGACTATCGGCACACCCAGAGGGCGTTCTGACAGGTAATTTTACACGTGAAATGCAGCCAAACCTTGCGAGAAACAGCGCGCATCCGAGACAGAAGAAACTGTGCTCCAAACTGTGTAGCACACGCACGGCGGAGAGAGAGAGAGCGAGAGACCTTGTGTGTGTGTGTGTGTGTGTGTGTGCGCGTGTGTGCCTAATGAAGTTAGGCACCGAAATCAGGCACCGAAATTTTCGTTCTTATTCGGTCTGGTTACTACCGTTTACGTCGGAACCGGTTCCCTATTGGCACCGAGTTTCGGTACCCAACCCTAATCAGGACTGATTTATAGGTGTGTGAATGTGTTTTTTTTTTGCTGATAAGATGATTTAATGAAAACGTTAACAGTGGGGCTTCCTTCAGAATTTTTTTTACTTTTCTTATCTCTCACATAAGATATTGAGAATTCAGCTGTCTGCAATGACCTCCAATGCTCTTTCACTCTCTCTCAGGTGGAGAGCTGTACACCGGTCTTACTGCGGATTTTTTGGGGAGAGACTCTGTGATTTTGAGAGGTTTAGGAACTCGCTCACCCATGAGAACAGAGACAGATCAGAGAATTCTACACGGTACAAAAATATTTGATATTGATTTGAATAAACATTCTTATTTCTTATGTATTTTATAGCTTTTTTTCTGGTGGAAATGATGGTGATGGAAATGACAATTTAACATTTTTGGAAGAAAATGTATGACTCCTTTGTCTTGCTAAAACTAATTTCATAGTTAGCACAATGTGTCATAAATACACAAAATTAAAGAATATTTTCATACACATATTTTGAACAATTATTCAATTGAAAAGCTTGATTGGAAATGAAATACTATACTTTATTAGTGGAAAACTTGTTGTGGAAATCAGTTTTGATATTGTTTTTAAAAAAGTGTTAAAAGATAAATTTCTTTATAAAATAAAATAAAATTCCAAAAAATGATATATAAATAATACTAAAATATCTGGTGGAAATAAGCAATCATAATTTGTGTATTTTTCACACGGCAAATATTGCAGTAGTTATTTCAGTCTTTATATATTCATAATAATCTTTATTATTTTATTATGTATTTTCATATTTTAAATTTTGGGACTTTAAGTGCTCATCATTTATGAAACACCCAATTATTCTTAAACAATTATTCTTGATTTGTAAAATCTACATACTACAAACAATCAGATCAGTATAAGCATTATAATAGTGTGTGTGTGTGTCTATGCAGAGCCCAGGTTTGTTGCGGCCCACCTCATCCCTGACAGTGCAGACAGAGATGACGATAAAATTTATTTTTTCTTCACTGAAAGAGCAACAGAGACCACAGAGCGAGACGATGAAGGAGCCATACACACACGCATTGGGCGATTGTGTGCGGTGAGGCAAACCACAACAAACACCATATACATACATCCAGGCACAAGTAGACCAGTATACTGTAATGCAATGCTTTTGCCTTGTTGTCAACCCCATAAACACAGCTGTTGGATGGTTTGCATGCCTCTGAAACACACACACTCACCGATTACCCCAGTATCCGTGCACACACATACACACCGCTAACACACAAGGGTCTGTAGAGTAAGGGGAGCAGTACAAATCCCTCTCTGTCATTCAGAGGTCAGTGTTCAAAGAGCCGGGTTCAATCGCACATTACTGTCACTTTGACTGCTATTCATTGTTCAGCTCTAGCACATTCCCAAATCACACACACACACTTAAACTGCAGAGAGGGTGATTATTTCCGCATATACAGATTACACAGATTTCAGATCCTTTACACCACCCAGCTGTTTTGCTTTTTTGGGATCCGTAACAATCCCTCCCTTACAGTGCCTTAATCTCCATAACTGGGTGCTGCTGTGAGATATTTTGTGAAACTCTTCTTGTTCCCACGGGAACAGTTAGAACTGAATGTTTATGTATAAACAGTATTCAAATTACAGGGGTTAGTGGTGTGTGACCCCTTTAATTAAACCAGTTCACCCAAAAAAGTCAAATGAGAACTGTCACAAACTCAATTTAGTAAGTGATTGTGGGGGGAAAGCATTGTATGGATGCACTGTGGCACCTTTCGTATACTAGTATATTATTATTTCATATCCTTGGGATGCACTAATTCTAATCTTGCATACTACTTAGGATGGATCGTATACAAATTGAGACGCAGGGATAGTTTGTTTTACCCAGAGGTCATTGTGTGTGTGGTCTGGGGGTAAATGATACTGGGATTTGAGTTTTTGCCGATCTGTTAGAGTTCAGAAGTGAATTCAACGCCTCATGATTTATTGTTTATGTGATTTCAGAGTGATGTGGGTGGGCAGAGGGTTTTGGTGAATAAGTGGAGTACATTTATTAAAGCCCGACTGGTGTGTTCTGTTCCTGGACCTCACGGCATCCAAACACACTTTCACCAGCTGGGTGAGACGATAAACAAACACTCCCTCAGCTCTTTATATACAATATTATATAAACTTGAAATCATTTTGATCTCTTACTCCTCTTTTGTGATGTGTTTGTCGTGCAGAGGATGTGTTTCTGTTAAGGACCAAAGATGAAACCAATCCAGAGATCTACGCAATATTCAGCACAATCAGGTCTGTCTCAAATCCAGACTGAGAAAACATCTGTTTATGTGCATTTCTGTGCCGTACTTTAGCTCACCAATTGCACTGTATTTTTTCATTCAGTTTTCATCTTTGTATAATTTTTTAATGCATTTTAAATTACACTTCAATGTCTTTTATTATATATATAAATTACGCCTTTTCCTCAATTTAATCCAATTTAAATGTTACTTTTCATTATTTATTTTAATGCCTTTGTCTTTTCTTATTCATTTTTATGTTCTTAAATATTTAAAATATATATATTTGATTTTGATTTTTTTTTATGCCATTGTAAAGAATTTAAATTGCCATTGTGTATGAAATGTACTATTTAAATAAACTTCATCATTTTTAAGGGCATCAGTCAGGTGTTTGGGAGTTTAACAGAACATTTTCTCTCTCCAGTAATGTGTTTCAGGGCTATGCAGTGTGTGTCTATAGTATGGCTGATATCCGTGAGGCTTTTAATGGGCCATTTGCTCATAAAGAAGGACCGGACTATCAGTGGGGACCTTATGAAGGAAGAGTCCCTTATCCACGACCAGGAGTTTGCCCCAGTAAAATCACAGCCCAGCCTGGCCGTGCCTTCCGTAGCACACTGGAGTTTCCAGATGTCGTTTTGCAATTTGCTCGAACGCACCCACTAATGTGGCGCCCCATTTACCCCTCACATCGGCAACCACTGCTGCTCCGCACCGGCGCCCCCTACAGGCTGACACACATCACTGTAGATCGCACACAGGCCGAAGACGGATACTATGATGTCCTGTTCATCGGCACTGGTAAGGAGCGTCATCACTTTAGTTCATTTTTAAGTGTATTTGTAATCGTGGTTGAATGATTGAATAACTGTGACCTTTGACCTCTTCAGATATTGGGACAGTGCTAAAGGTTATCGTACTAGGAAATGGTAACTCTCTCACCAGTGAAGAAATCACGCTGGAGGAAATGCAGGTTTTCAAGGTCTGTGAGCTCAAAAGTGTGGGACGTTTTCTATTTGAATATATTTTAAAATGTAATTTATTCCTGTGATGTCAAAGCTACATTTTCAGCATAATTATAATAATAGTTTTCAGTGTCGCATGATCCTTCAGAAATCATTCTAATATGCTGATTTGCTGCTCAAGAAACATTTCTTATTATTATCAATGCTGAATCCTTTGATGAATTGAAAGTTCAAAAGCATTTATTTGATATATAAATCTTTTGTAATAAATTAAATGTCTTTACTGTCACTTTTGACCAATTTAATGCATCCTTACCGAATAAAGTATTAATTTCTTTAAAAAAGTCTGACCCCAAACTTTTGAACAATAGTGTATATGTGAGTACCTTTAGATCTGTTTCTCATTATATTTATCTCTGCAGGTACCCACTCCCATAACCTCCATGGATATATCTGTGAAAAGGGTAAGTTCATGCTGCATGCATCATGTACACTCACTGTACTGTTCCAGTAAATGAACGTAACTGTAGTAACGTAAGCAGCACCATAAATTCATTTTCCACAAAATTCCCAAAGAGGCTTTTACTTTGTACAGAGACACTTTGTGTGTATATGCTTTTTGGCTCCAAAGCATTACACATTCATGCAAAACAACCAGTTGCTTAGTTATTCATCATGAAGCAGGTGCTTTATATCCAAACCAACTGACAGTTCACTTACTTCATGGACAGTACTGGAGCCACAGGAGTTAAAGGAAGTTCACCCAAAAATGAAAAGTGTGTCATCATTTATTTACCGTCAAATCATTCCAAACTGTTTTTTGTTGTTGTTTTTACTTTCATGGTATTCAAAAAAGGATTCACACTTAAACACATACAAACTAAAGTGCCTCAAGACTCAATGCACCAGGTTTCATGTCAAAAATGCTAAATGGTGTTGGTTCTTGTGTGTTGAATTTTTATTAAATAATGACTTAAAGGTGCACTATGTAACTTTTGGCCCTCTAGCGGTTAAAAAACAAAACTGCATGCATTTTGTGGAGGAACATTGTTTTGGTTCTGCTTTGGCTCTGCTTGACTGTGCAGATGAATATGACCCTTCACAATATATAATACTTTACAATTAACTCTGTTTGAGAGCTTCATATACTCACTTGTTGAGTAATAAAAACCCCATCTCCTCGTCGCTTTTACAACCCCATTTCCAGAAATGCTGGGACATTTTTTCAAATGCAATAAATTCAAAAATCTGTGATTTGTTCATTCTTTTAACCTTTATTTAACTGACAAAAGTACAAAGAAATGATTTCTAATGTTTTTTCTGACCAAGAAAATTGTATTTTTTTTCTTTACCACCTTTCCTTTTAATTACACTGTTTAATCATTTGGGAATTGAGGATAGTAACTGTTGCAGTTTTGCAAGTGGAATTTTTGCCAAATCTCGCCTGATACAAGACATCTGCTCAATAAGCCATGGTCGTCTGATTCTCCTTTTCATGATGGGCCATACATTTTCAATAGGAGACAGATCTGGTCTGCAAGCAGGCCAGTCAAGCACATCCACTCTATGGTGTAGAATGTCAGGCCTGGCATTAAATATTTTCACAGTGTTATATATGGTAGGTGGTGAAAGGTCTAAATTCTTTGCAATCTTGCATTGAGAAATGTGTTTTTTTTTAATTGCTTGACAGTTCTCTCATGAAATTTGGCACAGAGTGGTGAGCCATGACCCAATACCCTCACCTACCAGTTTACCTGATAATTGTGAATTGTTTAACTTGGATATTCTATAGTCTTTTCACTTTTATTTTGCCTCTGTGCCAACTTTTTTGGAGTGTGTTGCAGCCATCAAAATCAAAATGTTTATGTTAACAAAATACAAGTTGTTCAGTGAAAACATTGGAAATCTTTTCTTTGTACTTTTGTAAGTTAAATAAAGGTTAAAGAGAATGAATAAATCACAGATTCTTGTTTTTATTGTATTTTACAAAATGTCCCAACTTTTCTGGAAATGGGGTTGTACATCATTTCAAATCGTCTCGGTTACGTATGTAACCCTCCCTGAGTAGGGAACGGAGACGTTACGTCGAAATGACGACGAAATGGAGTTTTTGCTTAGAAGCCTATCACCTTCGAGTGTTAAAAAACGAGCCAATGGCAAAGAAATGCCATGGGTCTGCGGAATTTGCATAGCGTAACTCCGCCCCACCTCGTGGGTATATAAGGAAGAACGCTGGCAGAATGCAGACATGTTTCCCTGCTGAGGAGCCAAGACTGAGCTCGGCGTTCCAGCGGAGTGGCAGGAAGATGTAACGTCTCCGTTCCCTACTCAGGGAACGAGGGTTACATACGTAACCGAGACGTTCCCTTTCATAGTCACTTCGAGTTACGTCGAAATGACGACGAAATGGGGGTACCAGTCTAATCACGCCACCTCTCGGCTGTCTTCCAGTGCCCTGCGTAAGTGTGAGCTCCCTGTCGTGAGACTGGCACGGACGAAGGACTCCCACTTAACACAGGAATACCAAGGTAGACTGGGGAGCATATCTCAGTGGAAATATGCAAACCATACCCGCCCGAAGGGAGGTCTTAGGAATACACGTATGGCCCGAGAGAGGGTAGCATACGGAAGAACACTGGAGTATCCAGTCCATAGGGTGGAATCTTTCAACTCCAGGAGTGGCAAGGTGGCTTGCCGACACATGCTCAAGGAGGCTTACAGTGGAAATACACACGTGGGAGTCACCCAGCGGGGGGACCGTGCACATGGAGGCACCTAGCCAACTGCGAAAGCTGCCATAACCTTAGCGTTGACGTCAACAGTGCTGGAGGAACCCAGGGCTTCTCGGGGAAACTCACCTGAGGAAAATATCGCACGTATCCAGTCCGTGGAGTGGAATGGCGAGCAAGCAAAGTGTTGTGTTAAGCAAGCCAAGTCTCGCGAATGTGTTAGGTGTCGCCCAGCCTGCAGCTCTGCAGATGTCTGTTAGCAAGGCGCCATGCGCTAGAGCCCAAGAGGAAGCCACACTCCGGGTGGAGTGGGCTTTCACACCAAGGGGGCACGGTCGACCTTGCTGCTGGTATGCCAAAGCAATGGCGTGCAGTGCAATGGGACTGCAGATGTAAAATAGCCTATGGCTAACTCTGGTACAATGCATCAAATGGCAACATTTATGTTATAGATTGTACATGGTCCCTAATAATAAAAAAATTAAATAAAAAAAACTATCCAGTGAGATAACCTTTGCTTAGAGAGAGCCTTTCCCTTCAGCTTCCCACCATGACAGACAAAGAGCTGGTCTGAGGTCCTGAAACACTGCGTCCTGTCTACGTAGGCACGGAGAGCGCGTACTGGACAGAGCAGTGCCAAGGCTGGGTCTGCCTCCTCTGAGGGCAGCGGTTGCATGTTCACCACCTGGTCCCGAAAGGGAGTGGTAGGAACCTTGGGCACATATCCAGGCCGGGGTCTCAGGATCACGTGAGAGTTAGCCGGCCCGAATTCCAGGCACGCTTCGTCAACGGAAAATGCCTGCAGGTCCCCTACCCTCTTGATGGAGGCCAATGCAACCAGGAGCACTGTCTTCATCAACAGGAACTTAAGCTCCACTGATTGCAAGGGCTCGAAGGGAGCACTCCGCAGGGCAGTTAAAACCACTGAGAGTTCCCAAGAGGGTACGAGAGGAGGACGAGGAGGATTCAGTCTCCTCGCTCCTCTCAGGAACCTGATGACCAGGTCGTGCTTCCCAATGGACTTACCCTCAACTGCAACATGATGTGCGGCGATAGCGGCAACATAAACTTTCAGGGTGGAGAGAGACAGCCTTCGCTCCAACCCTGCTTGCAGGAAGGAAAGCATTACACTGATCGGGCATATCGTGGGGTCTTCTCGGTGAGAAGAGCACCAGTTGACGAAGAGGTTCCACTTCAACGCATAGGCATGTCTCGTGGACGATGCTCTAGCGGAAGTGATGGTAGCCACCACCGCTGGTGGTAGGGTACTCAAACCTAACTCGTCCCGTCCAGGAGCCACACGTGGAGGTTCCAAAGATCGGGTCGAGGGTGCCATAGTGTGCCCCATCCCTGAGAAAGGAGGTCCTTCCTCAGAGGAATTGGCCAGGGAGGTGCTGTCGCGAGGAGTACAAGTTCGGAGAACCAGGTCCGGGTGGGCCAGTGGGGTGCAACCAAAATGACCTGCTCCTCGTCCTCCCTGATCTTGCACAGGGTCTGTGCGAGAAGGCTCACTGGGGGAAACGCATACTTGCGGAGGCCCTGCGGCCAGCTGTGCGCCAGTGCATCCGTGCCGAGCATGCCCTCGGTCAGGGAATAAAACAGGCTGCAATGGGAAGAGTCGTGGGAGGCAAACAGATCTACCTGAGCGTCCCCGAACTGTTCCCAAATCAGCTGAACCGACTGGGGATGGAGTCGCCATTTGCCGGAGAGAGGCTGAATCCATGAGAGCTCGTCGGCTGCACAGTTCAGGTCTCCTGGAATGTAAATAGCACGAAGCGACCTCAGATGCTTCTTACTCCATAAGAGGAGGTGGCGAGCGAGTTGCGACATACGGCGGGAGCGTAGACCACCCTGACGGTTAATGTACGCTACTGTCGCGGTATTGTCTACTCTGAACGGACTAGTACGTGCTGGTCTTTGAGCAACGCATGGAAGCGGTGCAGAGCCAATCGTACTGCCAGCAACTCGAGGCAATTGACATGCAGAAGGCGCTGGGGTCCTGTCCAGGAGCCCGCGGCAGCATGTCCATTGCACATGGCACCCCAACCCGTGGTGGAGGCATCTGTTGAGACAACAACATGCCTGGAAACTCGATCTAGGGGCACACCGGCCCATAGGATGCTGAGGTTTGACCACGGGGTGAAGGTTCGACGGCAGGTCGGAATAACTGGTACTCGGAGCGTGCCTTGTTGCCATGCCCACCTCGGGACTCGATCGCGAAGCCAGTGCTGAAGCGGTCTCATATGAAGCAACCCGAGTGGTGTGGTTGCCGCTGCGGATGCCATATGCCCCAGGAGCCTCTGAAATAGTTTCAGTGGAACCGCACTCTTGCTCTGAATTTGACGCAGGCAAGTCAGCAGTGACTGCGCGCGCTCGCTCGTAAGCTGCGCGGACATGGCGACCGAGTCGATTTCCATACCGAGAAAAGAGATCCTCTGCACGGGGCAAAGTTTGCTCTTCTCCCAGTTGACCCGAAGGCCCAGACGAGCTAGGTGCTGAAGCACTAGGTCCCTGTGTTCGAAAACCTGGTCTCGAGAGTGAGCTAGGATTAACCAGCCGTCAAGATAGTTCAGGACGCGAACCCCGTGTAGCCGAAGCGGCACAGGGATGGGCGATATGGCCTAAAATCCATATTGCGATATACATTGCAGCCTCTTGCGATAACGATATATATTGCGATATATAAATTATAATAGAACCATTTCAGAACAGGCTATATAGACCCTTAGGAAAGC